AATATTTGTTGAATGGAATATTGTGATATGTTCAGCTCACGAGCCATTTTCGGCCACTGCGACGCGAGTTTCCATCAAAGTCGCATCTTTACTCTTCGAACCATTTTTGCCAATGAAATTCCAAAAAGTTCAAGAACTTACACGGCAACGGAAAGAAAATAGACTCAAAAGAGCTAAAGAGTTGCTTCGCTTGGCCGAAAGTGGTGTACTGTCGGATTTGGTTTTCTCCGATGAGGAAACATTCGTTGTCCAGCAGTTTGTAAACAAACATTTACTTACAAAAGGTCAGCTGAAAATTTGCACTTTAGGTTGGCCAGGAGAACTCAAGCGCTGGTCATGGCGATGGTGTGGGCCGCCACAACAGCCGATGGTCTCTCTCTGCTAGTATTAATCAACCGTGGCATCAGAATAAATGCCGATTATTATCGCGAAAATATTGTGCCTTGGGCACGCTAACATTTTGGCCGCAGACCTTGGACATTCTAACAGGACTCAACTCCATGGCACTCAGCACGCGCCACCCATTAATGGTGACAAAATGAATTTCCCCGCCTCATTTCCAGCGCGAAATATTTCATTCGATGCGGCAACATTTTTGGACTTTGACTGCATCGATATCACTGAAATTAAAATGTTTGCATAGTTAGCTGTTTCGATAATCTATATATATAAAAGTAAGTTGTGTTAGTTACTACGCTTATAACTCAAGATCCGCTGATCCGATTTTAACGATTCATACAAATTCGGAATTGTCTCTTTTCCGAAAAGGATAATATTCAAAAAAATCGCGTAAAAATGTGTTATATTAACATTTTCATTTTGACTTTTGAAATGTACAATAGTAATGTTTTATTTTGCATGATTTTTTTTTCCATTTTGACTTACTTTTTTCTAATGTACATTTGTAGTGTTTTTTTTATATATTTTTTTTAATTCGAATATTAATACCAATTTATTTAATTAACTTGATTTCTTGAGAACTGAAATTGATGGCGGGTTGCATGGAAGTCAGTCAAATGATATCGAAATAACTTAACGCAGTTAGACCAATGTTAAAAGATAATTACTTTTTCAAAATCGCTAAAAAACACGATAAAAGAGATCTCATGGCAAAAATTCTCAAATCGGGAAAAATCGAAGAAAAAAATTCAATGGAAATTGACTAGATATGGAAATAATCCATCCAATGAGATCTTAAAATGCTAAATTCATTGGGACTGCAACCAGTGAAATACCGAATATGAAGAGCACTGTTATATGCAAACTATATAAAATAGTGGAGCAAATTGAAAGTTTGGAAAGAAAAGGATACATTTCCTTGGAAAATTTTTCCGAAACCTTAAAAGTAACCTTAACTCCCATGAAACGTTATACGGTGACTTTGCGCTATCATCAGTAGTCAGTTTGGTTGGTAATTAAAAATCCCAAAAAAAAGGGGGGGGGGGGGGTCGATCAAACGTTTTTAGGGTCCATTTTATATAGTTTAACCAAACACAAAGGGCCTCAAATATTTTGCTCTATACTTCGCAAAAGTTACCATAGAGTTTTAAATTTTTCCTAGGGGTTTCATGAATAATCAGTTGTTCAAAATATATATCAGATGTATATCAAATGTTGGTAATTTGAGATTTTAAGAAGAACAACACATTTTTTCAAATAATTATAAGAATAGGACCATGCTTTGGTATAACCCTTATATGTGGAACTATTTCTTTCATATTACAATAATCCGCCCAATGAGAATTCAAAATGCAATTCATTGGAATTGCAATCAGTGAAATACTGAATATAAAGGGTGCAAAATGGTAGAGCGAATTGGACATTTAGGAAAAAAAACTTTCAAGATATCTTAAATCGCTTTTGCAGGTCACGATATATGACCCCCGGATAAGGGTACACTCCTTTTTCAAGTATAGTTTACATTTTAACCATATTTTACTCATACGCATTTTAGCAAAAGTTGGTAATTTGAGAAGAAACCATCCTCGCAAAAAATGATCACGTTTTGGTATAACCATTATATAATTTAAGCTATATTCGGGGTTTTCGACATTTTTCTTTCATTTTTCAGGCCTTTATTTGGCATCTTTGTTTCTACGGGTGTAAAAAACCTACTCTCATAATATTTTGACTTTTGGAGTAGAGTCCATCTTGGTCTTGATCATATTCATCAATTGATTTGGCTAAAAAATTGTATTTAGGCTACTCTGGGATAGAGAATCGTCTTACAGATAAGCATTTATTTCCACATAGGCATTTATTTGAGTATAGTTCCCACAATAGTGTACCAGCAAATCAACATTCTTAACCAATGTTTGGTCAGAAAAAAAAATTTTGGTATACTATTGAATTTTTAACTCTCAAGAGAATATTGGCTGGGAACGTATATATATATATATATATATATATATATATATATCTATATATATAAATGAAAGTTGTGTTAGTTACTACGCTTATAACTTAAGAACCGCTGAACTGATTTTAATGATTCTTACAAATTCGGAATTGTCTCTTATCCGAAAAGGATAATATCCAAAAAATCGCGTAAAAATGTGATATGTTAATATTTTCATTTTGACTTTTGAAATGTACAATAGTAATGTTTTATTTTGCATGATTTTTTTCCATTTTGACTTACTTTTTTCTAATGTACATTTGTAGTGTTTTTTATATTTTATTTTTGAAATCGAATATTAATTTAAATTGACTTGATTTCTTGAGAACTGAAATTGATGGCGGGTTACATGGAAGTGTAGTACCGAAATAATTTAATGCGGTCACACCAAAGTTAAAAGATAATTACTTTTTCAAAATCGTTCAAAAAATCACGAAAAAAGATATCTCATTGCAAAAATTCTCAAATCAGGAAAACATCAACAGAAATGTTCAATGGAATCGAATTTTAGAATAATAGTACATTCTATTGACAAACTTTGTAAAGATCTTTAAACATTTGCTGTAAAAAATCAGCGAACAAGTTGAAGATTTTTTCAATTTGTTATTCTTCTTTTGTCAATTTTTTTTTAAATATTAAATATTAAATTCATTGGATTTTTTGTGAACAAAATAAAGAATAATTTTTCAATATATACAATTTTTCACCAAAAAAAATAAAATAAGTGCGAAATACGATGTTAACTGACATCTACCATTCAACTCCAGGGCCTAAATGTGGTTCAGCTTGAAGATGCGAACACATTTAAACAAACAAAAATCTTCTTTCATGTGACAATAATCTCCAATTAGAGCTCAAAATGCAAAATTCTTTGGGAGTACAATAGTAGAGCGAATGGGACTTTTAGTAAAAAAAGGATTTTTATTCTTCCAGAAATTCTTCCCAAACATTCAAGATATCTTAAATCGCTTTTGCAGGTCATGATATCGATCATAACTCACGGATTAGGGTACAACCCGATTTCATATTTATATAACCATCGTATGATTTAAGCTATTTTTGGGGTCTTGGCCACTTTTTCCTTTTTTTGGCCCTTATTTGGCATCTTTGTTTTTCTAAGGGGGTAGAGAACCTCTTGGCATATAATTTGAAATTTTCAGGGCCCATATTGGTCTTGACCACATTCATCAATTGATTTGGCTAAAAAATTGTATTTATGCTACCCTGGGGTAGGGAACCATCATACAGATAATTGCTTCATAGGTATTTATTTAAGTAAAGTCCCCACGTTGGGGTATCCCCAAGTCCACTTTCACATCTAATGTGTGGTCAGAAAAGAAAATTGTGTATTCTATTGAAGTTGTAACCCCCAAGAGAATATTGGTTGAGAACGTAGATTTGGGATTGTGAAAACATGAACAAATTATAAATATAAGAAAGTAGCACGGAACCGAATATTTGTTAAATCGTCATTGAATTATACTATGATGAAAAATATGGACTTATGGGGTCTCTAACTTACAATTTAAATGGCAAATAAATTTAATTCCCATATTACGGTAATGGGTGTAAAATAGTCATTATATTTGACTATTCGGAAATCATTCTGCCCTCAATTATGAGGTGGATAAAACCATTTTTAATTATTTTTTTTTTTTTAGTTTGACATGCTAAATTTGATTTGGCCTCTATTTGTCATCTTGGATTATAAGGGGTAGATGAAAGTTTTCAATGTAGGTCGATGTTTCGGAGTAGTTCCCATATAAAGGTGCCGCCTGATTTTACCATATTTTAAAGGATTTTGCTAAAAATGTGTATTTGGGGGGTTGTGAAAATCTTACACAAAAAATTTCAACATATCTCTCAAGTTCACATTTTGGCGGACAAACAGACCGACATGGTTAGGGGGACTAATGATTACTCTAATACTCAATCTAAGGTGTTAATGGGTTTAAAAAAGTAATTAACTTTGGCTATTCTTAAATCATTCAGCCCTCACTTATGAGGTGTATAAAATACAGTAAATTCCAAATCACTACTGATTTGGCTGGAAAATTTTGCTACGATTTTTACCATACTAAAAATTAATTTGATCCCTTATATGGGGATAAGATTGATATATACATTTTAATAGATTTGTATATCACATATACACATTTAAAGTCCATGGTTTAAATATAGATGCCCACGGCTTAAATATGAGTACAGGTATTTTAAAACACTTATTCGAACAGTACGTGAACACTTTTATCAGTCATATCTGTGAATAATTATGCTTTGACAATATGCATAATAGACAAAAACTACGGGCCGGCAACGCGGACCGGGCCAGCTAGTATTTTATAAATACACTTATCAAAAACACAGATGTAAGAGATGTAAAATATTTTAAAAATGTATTGTATTTTACTCATAGCATATATTATGTTATCAATTTGAATAATAATATTGGAATTGTAAAATCGTTACTCGAAAACAAACTCCAGGAGCACAATTTTTTTTTCATTTCACGGAAATGTATATTAGGAAGGAATGTTATTTATATGGTTTTTAACAAAAATTCAAAATCAATCAACTCTTCTTACTTAAATATTCGTTTCAGGGATCTTATGGGCTAGTCAAATTAGCTTATTCGGAAGAAGATTCAACGCACTATGCAATGAAGATATTGTCGAAACGCCGCCTACTTCGTCAAGCTGGTCTTCTAAAGCGGGGCCCAAAAAAAGGAACATCGCCTTTGGAACGTGTATATCGTGAAATTGCCGTTTTAAAAAAACTAGATCACCCCAATGTTGTTAAATTAGTTGAAGTTCTTGATGATCCATTAGAAGATTCATTGTATATGGTGTTCGAACTGGTAAAAAAGGGTGAAGTTTTAAGCATTCCCACGAAGAATCCTCTAACGGTTGAACGAGCTTGGAACGTATTCCGGGATACACTGCTTGGATTAGAATATTGTGAGTAAAAACATTATTACAAATTTATCTTTATAAAAAGACAATGCAATTTTTTGGGGATCATGGTCCTCCTAAATTATTATGTTTTAAGGTCATTTTGCTCTTCATGTTAGATTTATATGTGAAGTACTTTTTTATTTTTGTATTCGCTTTGTCGTATCGTACTTTTGAACGCTCTTCGGCGAGAACATTCCTCCTGATAAAAAATTGGCAAGAAACCCAATTCGAAGTCAAAAACTCGAACCATTTTGCGTGCTGCGTGTTTCAACTAAGCTGGATTTATTGATAAAATATTAGCCGGAATTTTATTTTAAATATAGAGTATTGGCCTCAATTGAGTGATAGCTGCTTATGAAGAAGGTTTTCACGTTGTACAAAACAACCGCAAAGTCGTACAAAAAAGTTCAAAATAGATTTATCGAAGTAAAACTTTCTAACTACTCACAATCGATTTCGTTACCAATAGAATTGTATCATTTTGCGATCTTAATATAAATATCTCGTATCATAAAAATGTTCCTTTGACAGATACACCAAAAGTTGAGAAGTAGAACAGAACATTATTAATGGTGATGTAACGTGCAACGTATTTCCTGGGAGGACTCTATGACTTCCCTCAACAAACCCCATACCTTTTCACAAGAATATCTTCATTCTTTCTTATATTTAATGGTTCTTTTTATCTAGACCATTTGCTGTTCAATTCTAATGCACCCGATTGCCCAGCATACATTTCCATCTCGTTCTTACCTACTTTTTCAGATTATTTTCCCAAGCAAGCGTACCTAATACCCGACGTGCCGTACAAAATTATTCACCATCTCCACAATATTAAAGTAAAGGTAACCAAAAAAAAATAAATAACAGCAAAATTTCAAAAACCAAAGAATATCTCCAAATTTAATGTTTTTTAATTGCACACTTTTATTTTCAATATACAAAAGAGTAAGTGAATTATGTCAATTTGTCCAATTTATACTTTTGACGAATTTCGGTAACATTAATATATTTTGTGGTGAAAAACACCGAGAGAATACGTCAGATATAAGTTAGGGGTGTAAAATTTATTGAAAATCTTCCAAGTTCTGAAATTGTTCTACAGCCTCCTCCTGTTTTGTTAAGCATGAATTTAAATAACAAGAAAATATATCAACATATTGAAAAGTTTACATCAGTTGTAAGTTCGGAAGCTCATTCAGAAAGTATATAAATTGGATAGACGTAAAATTCTGATTTCTAATCGAATAAAGAATCTGCACAAATTAAACGCAATTTGCAGAAGAATAAGGACTATGAAGGCAAAAAGTCAAGGCATTCCTAATTTGAGACCTATTTCTTTTGGACAAGTTTTTTTTTTGAAGTTGTTGTTATTTTTGTATTCAGATTTTATTTACATGATGTAGTTTGCGCAAGTGAATGTTTCGATAAGTTAACAAAGTGTATATTTAACACTCCTTCTCATCCACTTTAAATTACATTTATGTCAAAAAGCTTTATATTTTATTTTTAATAAAGGTCTTAATAAAATATCGACAACAATTTCTTCCATAGGATAGTAGTCCTTCTCTTTATTGATAAATGACATCCATCCAGACAAATTATTTTGGTTATTTATATATTGTATAATTTAACATGTTGCAGCTAACAACTTACAAATATCCGCTATAGAATTCCGTTGACGCAATGTCCGTGGCCGTTAAAACAACTCAACTCTACACACAGTGGGTAGCAAGAGCAGATATATTGCATGCGTTGCAATGCAAAAAACGGCGAACAGCAAGGCATTGAATAAGCTAGTATAATTAGGTTTAAGTCAAGAAATGAAATAAAAGAGCCCAAAATAAAGAAATGAAATAAAAGAGCCCATAAATCATTTAATTGGTGTCTAACGTGGTAAAACAAAAAAAGTATTAATTTCGGCCGGGCCGAACTTTTAATACCCTCCATCTTAGGGTAAAGAAAGCATTAGAACTAATTATGACCCACAAATACCAATTTTTCATCAAAATACCGAATATCGGGAGGTACCGCTATATAGGGATATACCAAAACGTGGGCCTATACATACAATGCTTCGCCGCACAAACTAGGACCCATTATTACCTACAAATACCAATTTTCAGATAAATCCGTGAAAAAGTGTGGCAAAAATGATCAAAATACCGATATAGGGAGGTATCGTCATATGGGGACCAAAACGTGGACCGATATATCATTTTCAATACAAACCATCCAATACACAATACAAATTATTTTGCTAACGTTTGACGCTCTACGTCAAATAATGTGGCCTGTATCGTGATTTCAATAGACAGACGGAAATCGTTAAATCGACTTAGATTTGTATGCTGATTATGAATATATATACTATATTGGGTCTACGACGAATATTTAGGGATGATGCAAACGGAATGACAAAGTTAATATACCCTCCTTTCCAAGGTAGAGGGTATAAAAATATATAAAGAAAGTCTTAAAGTCGGGCGCGGCCGACTTTATGATACCCTACACCACTTTGCTAATTTAGTAGAGCTCCACATAACAACTAAAAGTTTTTATGGGAGAATACAATCATACACGCTATGATTATAATTATAATTTAAAGTTTAAAGGACTAAATATGTCGAAGCATTTGTATCTTTTAAATTCGGAATTGTATTGCCCATTTGGTGCACAATTAATTTGAAATCGGATAAAGATATATATGGGAGCTATATCCAAATCTGAACCGATTTCGATAAAATTTGGCAATCTGAGCTGTATTTGATATATTTCCCTGAATATCGTTGTTACGGAGTGCATATTACGGTTGTGGGTAACAAATATATCTGAACCGATCTTCACCAAATTTGACATACTAGCTTCTAGACTCAATTCGGTCGTAAGTGCCAAATTCCATCCCATTTGGAGAAATATTAGACGTTTGGTGCACAATAAAAGGTAAATCGGACGAAGTTGTATATGGGAACCAAATCTGAACCGATCTCGATAAAGTTTAGCAAATGTATTTCTGAGCTGTATTTGATATATTTCCCTGAATATTGTTGTTGCAGAGTGCATATTACGGCGGCGGTGGACAAAAATAATAAATTGGATGAACAATATATATGGGAGCTATAGCTACTTCTGAACCGATTTCGATCAAATTCGGCATACATATTTTCAGGCCTAATTTGGGTGTATATGAAAAATTCCATATAATTCGGGTTGATATTACACGTTTGGTGCATAATAAAAGGCAAATCGGGCGAAGATATATATAGGAGCTAATCTAAATTTTGATCGATTATCTCCAATTTCAATAGGGTTCGTCCTTGGGCCAATCAAATGATCTGTACAAAATTTCATCTGGATCGGGCAATAAATACGACCTGTACTTTGTTTACAAAAATACATGGACAGACGGACGGACGGACATGCATAAATCGACTCAGAATGTGATTCTATGCAGATCATCAAAAGGAACTATGGGTCTATCTCGTTTCCTTTTGCCTGTTACAAACAAATGCACAAAGACATAATACCCTGACCGCTTTGTGGTGGTATAAAAAACGTGGTTTAACAGAAATTAAAATCCCATACGTGGTATAACAGAAAATAAATAAAACTAAATTTAATAACCACCAAGTTTCGAAACAACTTAGGGCAGCGAAGAAGATAATTTAATTTAATCACCAGAGCTTCGGAACAACCTGAGCAGCACAGAAGTCGAAAACCGTCAAACAACAAAAAGCCACACAGCGATCCAGTCAACATATTTAATAAATTTATTTGTAAGTTAAGAGAAATACTATACTCTAAAACAATTGCAAAAAATATTTTGAGGATTTATAGTAATATCTCTGTGAGAACAAGTCTTTTAAATAGTATAAATTAAAACCTAAGTAGTTTGAACAAGTTAAAAAGCAGTAAGTTCGGCCGGGCCGAAATTGAATACACTCCACCATTTGGAACAAATTTGGAAATTTTCAAAAAATAGAATCCTTAAAAAATTCTGTTAAATTTTTCTTTGTCATAAGCCATTACCATATTTAAATTCGAAACTTAAAATATGGTACATAGGGAGGTACCGTTATATCGGAACTGTTTGAAGACCTGTACCACCATAGACAATTTTCTGTCCCAGGCTGTAGCATCCAATACGAACTTCAAATACGACAACTCAAACAATTTCGGTGGGTATTGTACCTAAAATCGTCAAAATACCGAATATAGGGAGGAACTAATGTATGGGGCCTATACGAAGACCTGGACCTGTATAGACAATTTTCTGTCACAGACTGTAATTCCCATTACGAACTCTAAATACGTAATTTTAAACAATTCCGGTGTATAATGACGCTAAAATCGTCAAAATATCGAATATAGGGAGGTAACGTTATAGGGGGGTAACGTTATACGAAGATGTGAACCTGCACAGACAATTTTCTGTCTGAGGCTGTAGTATCCATTTCGAACTTGAAATACCAAAGTTGAAACAATTCCGGTGAATAATGTGGCTAAAATCATCAAAATACCGAATATCGGGAGGTACCGTTATATGGGGGCTATATGAAAGCGTGGACCCATTTACGAACTTAACCTGCCTTCTGGAAAATAAACATGTGTGCAATTCTAGCCATCTATCTCAATTCGTTTGAAGGATAACGTGATTACAACAGACAGACAGACGGACGTCGCTAAATCGACTTAGAATTTTACGCTGATCAAGAGTATATATACTTTATTGGGTCTGACAAGAGTATTTCGAGGAGTTACAAACGGAATGACAAAGTTAATATACCCTCCATAGTATGGTATAAAAATATTGTAAATTTTTGCAAGGGTCGTGCCCCATGAATAAATAGGACCAATCTATGCTAAAAGAAGTAATCGAGGGACTTAGTAGGATAACTGTAGAAAAAAAGGCATATATTTCAGAACAAGCATCTGTTGAAATGACGGGAAAATGACAATGACATCAAAAAAGTTAGGGCTATGATGGAGGTTGCTGTAAGCAC